GTCCGCGTGTCTGAGGACTTGCCTCACACTCGCAGCCCGCCCTATCCGCCTCGATTCAAGGACGTTCGCCCCACCCCGCACTCGCACCCCCGCCCCCATCGCGCCCTGACCATCGTCCCCGAGCGCGCCCGTCCACCGGCCCCTAGCTTGGCGTGCCCCATTCACTCGGTGCCTGCGCTGTGCCACCACCACTCCCCGCGCCCTCTGTGGCAGAACCGCCAGAAATAACGCACTTACGGAGGCGCTCGTCTTCCACCAGATACTAAGCACCCCGTAAGCAAGCTATAGCGGGCGGTATCCGTTGGGCACACCCCAAGGGAGAGTCCGAAAGATCCACATTTTCCCCAATAATCCAATAATGAGAACGAGTTACAATACTTATCCATTTTATACATCAGAAGTTCTTAAAATTACATTATTACATTTCTAAAGTCAGAGTGCGGAATATTAAACAGCGAAATAAAAATAAACATCTAACGATGAAGAACAAGGATCCGCCTGTACCAACTAGAAGAATCCTTCACATAATGGTACTCCTCAAGCATTATCTGCAACAGGGGTAAATAGACCCTGAGTACACAATATACTCGCAAGACTTATCCGACTAGTAGGAATAGTTTCCCGACTTCAAGGAATATGCAAAGCTTTAAGGTTTGCTGATTTCCTTTTTGCAGAAAGCAGTACTAATAGTGAGTCCTTATTTATGTTATTATTAACAGCCGTATTAATTTATTATCTAGCCATTCTATGTAAGCACATGTTCTACTTTCAAGTAAGAGTTGAGCAATCAGTTCTATTTCATCACCTTCCATCTTTTAGTTCTTACTACGGTGCTAGACCCAAAACAAGCCGCACCACAATTGCGAATCGACAATTCACGTAATCAATGCAGACCAACCCATCACCCTTGGTCCGTGTCACCCTCAAAACTCAAGTCGCTTCTACGTCCCGGGACTTTGTACCCCAATGAGCGGAACCACGACAAAGAGAGCAAGGACTAAGTATGTGCTCGGGATAATAGATTTGTGACTTACCTCGAGATTTATCACCTCCTCAGGGAAAAAAGTGTAACCAAGCATGGGGTCTAGGTCCCCTTGGTCACCATTTTCCTTCCCACCATTTTATCATGAGTAATCATAATTATCACCTAGTAGTTACTCACGCTACCGATACCTTGAGCATATGACTACTCGACACTGTATTAGTAGGACTCGAGGTAGATATATTTATGCATGTAGTTTCCATAAAAACTTAACGTAAATGCACATCATATATATATCTTCTTAAAGTGATCATAAAATATGGGTTATGCATCGGGGCTTGCCTTTGGGCGGTGGTGGGTCAACATAAAAAACATCTATGGGGTTCTCCCTACACGAGGATCTCCTCCTCGTACTCCTCAATGACCTCCTCATAAGACTAAGATCCCAAGTTACTCTACCAACGTTACTACACTAATGAAGTATGAAGCAAGACAATATATTATCATTAGCAACTAAAGGTATTCTACTACTCTAGGTTATCTTGATTTACTCAAGTATATATGATATAAACGAACTAAAGTATTCTTGGCTACTCTATTTATCAACCTACTATAGGGCTACAAAAATACAGTGAATACATAATAATCTAATGATCTAACTGTAAAATTTTCATTACTAAAGCTATCATCGATTTGTCATACAAATTCCTACAAATATTACGCTAAATAATACTAAGCTCTCTAATTTGAATTTATGAGCCTATCATGATCATAGCTAACTATAAACTAACTACACCAACAGATAGATAGCATTTTTGTGAACCTAACAAATTTTGTCTCACTATTTTTGGACATCTACAAGATTTACTACAAATTATCAAAGTTCAGCTCAAAACTAAATTGAATAAACCTTTGCTAATTTAGTGGAAAATGAAAAACCGATTTCTATCACATGCCCAAAGCGCTTAAGCTGCTCGCCCAAGCCAAGTGAACGCAGCATGCTGCCTTGGCAGCGGCTGCCCTGCCGCTGGGCACGACAACAGGTGACGACGACGTGACGACGGGAGAACTCAGCGCTTCGGCTGTTTTGCAAAAACAGCCCTGACCTAACGGCAAATCACTCTGAGACCCACGGCACTATTCCTATAGTCATCTACTTCGTAGATAAACCCTCGGAACAACCTGTCTTCGCAACGACGATACCCTCAGGCATTCACGCGTGCACCGGCGCGGCGACGCTGGCACAGGGCATTTACGCCGGCCAGACATGCCCTTCCCCGCCCTATCTACGAAGCCGATACCTTACTAGGCTTGAACGAGGAACACTGGGTGAAGGAAGCGCGAGCTGGGACGCTGAAGTGAGATCGGACCACGATGGTGGAGCTCCTGCACTGAAAACGAGTCCGTTTCGGTGAGCTACAACAACGTCGGAGAACTTGGGGTAGCTAGTGAGCTCAAGGGACTCACCACGGACACAGACGACACAGTGGTTCGACCGGAGGTGACCCGAGACAAGCTAGCCGCGTGCGCACGGATGGTGCGATGGCGCACGACGGTGGCAAGGCTGCGCCAGGGGCGGCTAGGAGGTGGTAGCGGTTAGGCAAAGGTGCGCAGGGTGATTAGCAGGTGGAGGCAAAGTTGGTGGTGTAACGAAATGACACGAGCTGCACTGGATAGGGAGATTGCCTTCAACGCGTGCCATGGCGGTCTTATTGACCCGGCGAGAAAGGAACTACAAATTGGCGCATGGCATGGCGAGGCTCACTGCAAACTGGGGTCGAGTGGTTGGTTGGCTACACGATGGAGCCATGGGCGGGATTAATTGGATCGAGACGACTCCACCAAGCCGAATTGAGAGGAGCGGGTCCGGCGACCACGACGACAGAGGAACAGGGGAGACAGGCAAGGCGTGGCTCGTCGCTACCATGGCGGACATGGCTGTCACTTTAGTGCACAATCACGTACGGCTACAGGGCGATGAGGAAACGACCAACACGCTCAGGATGATGGGCGCATGGCCATAATTCACAAACTACCGATGGCGGCTCGGCTTTGCATGCCGCAGTGGCATGGCGTCGGTCAGAGGAGGCAGCAGCGCAGCGTCGTCGAGTGTCGATGTTAGACGGCAAAGTAGGCGGGGCAAGGCGATGTGGGCATAGCCAAGGGTGGCCACGCTCTCATGGCACCGTACAGGCGAGCGCGAGGCGGCAGAGCGGCAAGCGGACGCGATGGCGTGGCAGAGCGCACGCGGTGACTTTGCACAAGCGGTCGTGGCAAGCAGCAGCACAGTGGCGCGACGCGCGGGGTCAGCGACACGATGAAGCGGTGCCAGTGGCCGAGCCAGGGCAACGGGCCCGCGATGACGGTGGTGCTGGCCGAGCGTCCAGGTCGCTGGGCGCGGCGTGCGCGTGCGTGTGCGTGTGTGGGTGCTTGCATGAGCGGCAGTGGTGGTGCGGGCCCGTGTGGGAGGCGCGCGCATGCGCGCCAAGGGCAGGCCAGTGCCGCGCGCCAAGCCGACCCGTAGCCTAGTGACCGCGGCCAAACGCTGCAATCGACCGGGAAAAGTGACTTGCACGCTTTTTAAAGCTGCTAAAAACCCAACCCGATGATCCAGTTGCTAAACCAACTATTTTACGCTCGATATGGTATATCAAGCTAATAAAACAAACCTTAAAACCATGCTGCTACTTAACCCGATTCTCCTATAAAAATTTCTAAACTTAGCTTCGTCGACCCATTTTCCGACTTAAAAAATGACAAAGTTTTTGTTCGAATTAGCATCAACTTCGGTTTCCAAGCTATTAAGTAAGCTATCTAGCGAATCACGTTCTCGACCACAAGTATTTCATCGTCACCTATGAAGTTCATACTATAAACTTTACTAAAGTTTCGTATAGTCATTATATAGCATTTTGTTCAATAAAAATTCATTTAGAACCCTAAGCGATACAACGCGACATGAAATGTAACATTCGTTTCATGTTTTCGATGAACGTTTCAAGTTTCGTAAATTGCTTTACACTCTATAATTCATATATTTACACATAAGTATGATGCTCATGCAATGTTTTAGCAAAAGACTGTACAGTGTAACACTGAGGGTGTTACACCCTCTGACTCTTCGAACAATATGAAAGATGTGCAACATAAAACACTTGAATGCAACATACGTATGCAATAGATTAAACATCTAGATCATACGCTTGCAACATAGGCGTGAAACATATGCAACATCTAGATAAAACAACAACATGAAAACACTTACTGCAACATAAGACTAAAACACCTGAAACATTTGGAAGATATTGTTGCAATATTTATGTGAAACATATGCAACCAGATCAGAACGCTTGCAACATACGTCTGGAATAGATTAAATATTTTGAACAAACCTCTGAAATATTTGCAACATGCCTCACAAACACTTGTAACATATATAACATGTGCAACATTCCCGATCTACTTTTGCAACATCCATATGAAACAATTGCAACATATCTCTGAAACGTCTAAAACACTTGAAACATACACTTGTAATATACACTTTCATCGCAACATCTCCTTGCTGAGGTCGCGCATCGCGGCGGCCATGGCGTCAACAGCGGGCACAACCTTTTGGTGGGGAACGGCACAAGAGCACCTCTCGGCAAGCACCCTAGCAGGACCTCCTCGCTGCATGGGCACGGGGCCCCTCGTGCGCATAATGAATGGGGCGCGCGCGTGCGAAGAGCTGGAGCGGGCGCGTGGCGGGGGATGGAGTGTGGCGTGGCAATGGAGGGGGCGCAGCGTGGGATATAGCGCGGCACTAGATGGGGGAGCCGCGCGGCGCGAGATGAGGTGCGCGGCGGGGAAGACGGCAGTAGCAAGTGCACGAGGCAGCAGCACGCGATGGACGAGAGCGATTGTGAGATATTTTTTAGAGAGAGATGATGAGACGCGGTGAGTAAGCAGGCCTGCTGGGCTGTTACGCGCAGGCCCGGAAAGCAGCGTCCGGACGACGGATGCCCGCTCCTAAGCATTACCTAAAAAATTAAACATCCAAATAAGTAGTAACCTTTTTTTTACTAACCCTCTTTAACACGCCATCCTTTCAAGCTAGGCACGTAAAATTCTTGAAGCTTAAAATTGACATCACAAAGTTTTACTAGATTAAATACTAGGTTAGCGAACAATTTAAATCAAAGCATTTATGGCCCCGTTCGCTTCGCTGAAAAAAACAAGCTGAAACACTGTTCGGACTGATTTGTTATGGAGAAAAACATTATTCCAACTGAAAAAACAAGCTAAAAGATACGAATTATAAGACAAGCGAACATGGCCTATATTGAAGACCAGCTGTATTCGTTGCGCCTCAAGTTCAGTGCCGTGCCTTTGGGCCGCCACCACTGCTGGAGCCCGTGCGGGTCGTCGCCGTCCGAGATCCACAGCACTGCGCATGGTATGAGGTGCTGCAGCTCGCTCTGCTGGTGGAACACATAGTACGCCATGTCGCGGTACGACAGTGTGGCAGCCGAGTTGGCCACGCGGGTGGACCACTCCTTCATCTGCTCCAGCTGCTCGAAGTAGTCGATGAAGCCCTTGCAGATGGCGTCCCTCCGGTGCACGTACAGGTTCGGCACCCACGGGGACAGCTGCCCGAAAAGGTCCTCCATATGTTTCCTGTGGGACCTCAGAATTTTCATCCCCAACACGCACTTGACGCCGTAGCTGAACCTGTACAGATCCCTCTTCGCCTCCTCCGGCATGACGTCGATCAACGGCGCCGCCGATACATGCGGCGGGTTGAAGAGGAAGGTTGGGAGATTGCACCCTCTTCCGGTCACCATGCCGTACCGCCCCACGTCTAGCGCTATCGACGCCCCGAGCGAGTGGCCCGCGAGCCACACGACGGAGTTCGAGTTCGAGTTCGTGCCGCCGGCTACTGCACGACCACCAGCAGCACCAGCTGTAGGAGTGGAGTCCAGGAGGGAGGTGACGTGCCTGCGTGCATCCTTGAAGCGGCCACAAGACTTCTGCTTGTTGAGAAGGACACTGAGGTTGTGATGCATGTCATCGAAGACCGTGTCATTTCGTGGCATGGTGCCTCGAAAGGCAACGACGTAGTGTGGAGCTGGAGTCCAGGAGGGAGGTGACGTGCCTGCGTGCATCCTTGAAGCGGCCACAAGACTTCTGCTTGTTGAGAAGGACACTGAGGTTGTGATGCATGTCATCGAAGACCGTGGCATTTCGTGGCATGGTGCCTCGAAAGGCAACGACGTAGTGTGGAGCCGACGGGTGGCGGTTCTTCGCGTCGTCAGCTGGGGTCGTATTCGAAGATAGCTCCATAGACGAACGACCTGGTGCTTTGGTCCCCAAAGATCCGTAAAAGGTTCTTGCAGCAGTCGCGGTTGCACCCAGACTCGAGCACGCGATGGAGGCGAAAGTTGAAGTTCTCCCACCACGCTGCGGCGAGTTCGCCCTCCGTCCGCCTTTCTTGACGCTCGCTCTCCAGAATGTAAGTGCCTTTAACGAGACAGGCGGTGATGCACCGGCGGTGCTCCTCGCTGTTCCTGCAATCATAAAATGTGCACGGTTGAGCTTGAGCCAAGTTATTATTAGGGTTTATACATTGCAATGATATAACGGCAGTGGTGCAGCTACAATTTGTCTTACAAACAAAAAAAACAGCATATGAATTACCCGCTTCGGTTTACAAAAACATACAAGCATTTCAAAGCACGAATTAAGGAAGCCAAAAGTAGATTATTTAGATTATTTAATGCCTAATGCTGCGTCCGTCTACCCAGACGCCGCTTGCCCACTCTGCTCTGCGCGCTTCTGCGCTTTACAGAAAAAAATAGCGTCGCTCGTCTTCTCCATCTCAAGGGCCGCCCGCTGCGGCCTTCTCTAGCGTAGCGGTGCCGCACCCGGTCCCTTCGATGCTGCTCCGCGTGCTCGCGCCGCGCACCCATCCACCTCGCCTGTCGCGGAAGGGGACGCAGGGGACGCCTGCGCCCCCATCCACCTCACGTCGTTGACAAGAAGGGGAGGCCTGCGCCACCATAGTTCCCCACCAGGTAGGCCGTGGCTGCTGACGACGTTGTGTTTCAAAAGTTTCAGGTGTTTTCAGACATGTTGGAAGACTATGTTTCAAGTGTTTCAATTATTTTAGATGTATGTTTCAAGTGTTTCAAACGGATGTTGCAAAAGTAGATCGGGATGATCCATATGTTTCAATGGTTGCACATGTATGTTGCAAGGGTTTGTTCCTAATGTTTCATCTTTTTTCAGAGGTATGTTGTGTGTTTATCTGGATGTTACATATGTTTCACATATATGTTAGAAGTGTTTTATCTGGATGTTGTGTATGTTTGCAATGGTTTTCAAGTTTTTCAGGTGTTTTTGCAAGTGTTTCTGACGCATGTTTCAAGTGTTTCATCTGTATTCTTTTCTTGCAAGTGTTGCATCTGAATGTTTCAAAACTAGATCAGAGTGTTGCACATGGGATGGAGTGGAAAGCGGGAGGGGGCGCGAGCGGTTCCCGCGCGTGGTCTGGCGGCGTGGGCCCGCTGCTGGGGCGCTCGCTCAACAAGTCTGACGTTGCTAGGGCGCTCGCTTCGCTCGCTGCGCAGGGCACCGTCCGACGCTATCTAGCGCCCTGGATCGGACATCCGGACGCTAGCAATTCCTTTATTTAATAGATTGTATCACCACTGGTTACCATAACTATTAGGGAGAGGTTAGGGCATGTTCAACCCTTGTCTATATATTCTTGGAATCCACAACGCAGACAGCTAAATAGGCAACTCGCACAACCCATATACTGGGGTTGTTAACTGTCTCCAAGTGGTTTAATACTTACATGTAACCATGATCAGTTATGAATATCCTTTTAGTATACCATGTTGTTGCTTGTGAGACATAGAGCAGCAGCAGCAACAACAACATGTTCTAAGTAAAGTAATGACATAGTTAATTTTCAAGTTGCCTTCACTATATTAGGAAGTTCCTGTCCAGTAACTGAAAGAATCTCACTACAAATGCAGATTCAAATCTAATTACATCCGTTAAAATACACATTGATTATCAGAGATGTTTATACTAATTTATGGACAAATTTTGAAAACTACAAATACTTGTATTTAGGGAGGATGGATAAAAATCTTGGGAAAACTAACAATTTATGCCATGCTGTCCGATCCGCCTATTATTGCATTGGCACAAGTCACATGCCGCCTCAAGAGAGTACATTGAGATCGAGTGCATATTCTACTCGCTGTAATCTAAAAGGCAGAATGGTTTTTTTTTCGAGTAAAAAAGCGAGTACGTAAAGGCGTGCGTACCAGTCAACCTCGGTTTGAGTCATATGCTTGGGTCCAGAGACGTAGAAATTATTCTTCCGGTCATCGGAACGGCCCATTGTTCAATGCGATCGAGTCGGTCAGAGATTCTGCTAGTCACGGGCGGTGATGATCAGCCAGCAACAACTAACGATCGGCAAATGAACAACCTACCTTGGAAGAAGGCAGTAGTGCAGCAGCAGTGGAAGCTAATGAAGTAAAACTGAACCATGTGTTTGTGCTTCTCTACCCGGTGCCTGTGTTTGTGCTTTTGTTATTTGCCGTGAAGTAAAACTGAACCATGTGTGCCGTCTATATATACGCGTCGTGCCGTGTCACGCGCGCCAAATTACAACGCAGAAAAGATTCGTTCGGTCTGGCAACGATACATGCATCTGCATGCTCGAGTCAGTGCGACGAACTTGTCAGAGTGTGAGACCTACTCAAAATCTATCCCTCATATAATTTTGTTGACCCCTTCGCTACATCGTGTTGCTGAGGAATTTCAGGCTCAGTGGTACTCTTAAATACCTGGAATCGACGCTGAGCGTGAAACCCCATCCAAATCACACGTCTAGCTGCTGCTTCATCCGTTTTAAATTATAAAATATTTTTGCTTATCTAAATACATTGTTTTTACTATATATCTCTATATATATAGGTATAGTGTATATTTAATATCTACAAAATCTAAAACGCCTTATAATTTGGAATGGGTGGAGTACACCAGTATTTCTTGCATCGGGTTGTGATGCCAAGTCAGCGGAACCGCTGGGCTCTGTTTCGTGGCTCTCACCGGGATCGTTCATGCATTGTTCCATAGTCAAGCAACTCGGCCGCGGTTGCTGAAGCTGACCTTCTCGAGTTCTTGCACGCGTTTCTTGTATGCACGCTCTATGATAAATTAGGCAAGGACGACGTCCCTACGAGGTGACAGTTGATTGAAAATCCAATTAAACAAATTAATCTAAAGCTTTATTTTTATCATGTTTTCTCCTTTGCCCTACTTTTTCAAACCCTATGGGTTGTTCATCCTCTGATTCGATGACCTGAGCTGGCGGCTTAGGATTGCTGCTGACCTGGGCCAATCCGACAACATCCACGCCTTGACAGGGTCTCTCAGCTCCTGGGTGAGTGTTTTGATAGTTACTTTGCTAGTTTATTTGAAAACTAGTCATTCGCCATTGTGTAAGCATGATACATAGCATTCGCTGGTTTACTTGTAAACCTAGACATTTTTCACCATACAAGTGTGATAGTTATCATTCTTGGGCAAAACCCAGGAAAATTGTCCATGATGGTTTTTGCAGATGACTAGGCTGGTTTCTACAGAATCGCGCCGACTATATCAGTTTGCGGTTTATGCGTTCTAGCACTTTGGACATGGGGCCAATTTTTGTAACATATTTTTTGACAATTCCACTAAGGAACGGCTGAATCTTTTCTACCTCAGCCCATTACTTAATTGATATATATATCACCTTTGTTCGCCATTACTATTGCATCGAGCCAAAACGCGATTGCATCTGTTATTGGTCACTTGTAGTTTTGCTTGCTATAACTGTTCTACATACTGTTGTTGTTGTTGTTGTGACAGCAACAAGCAGTTAGCAGGTCAGGATCATTTTATTGATCATGGAGGAGTACCGAGGTGCTACACCGCAATATTACTATACAAAGTCCAAGTACAATTTGCAAATATATTATATGTTTTCAATAATTATTTTTGCAAGTACAATAAATCGGCGGGATGTCAGTACATGCGCTGGCATAAAAAATCAGCAACGGCTTCAACGACGATGTCGACGTAGAGCTCGTCGTGCTGATAACGTGTTATAAAATACGTCGCCAGTGGTTAGGACATTCCCCTCTACGTCTCTCATAATAAACACACTAGATGAAAATAGAAGAACAAATAGACACAAGATATATAGATTATTCTTTATTTCTCTAAATGTGTTGATAATTACAACATAGAGCTCCCACTATATATAGTCCTACCAAGGCTCAGATAGAGACTATTCTTTATTCCAATGAATATATTGATAATTACAACATATAACTCACACGTATATATAGTCCTGCCAAAGTCTAAGAGTTTGGTAGTAGTCCATATACAAACAGACTAGAGTTATATAAATAGACTAGAATTAGGGTTCCTTCTCCTTTCCTTCTAGGACAGAGTCGGTATGTTTTACAACATTACTGACCCTCTTTTAACACGCCATCCTTTCAACTAGACACGTAAAATTCGTAAAACATAAAATTAACATCACAAAGGTGCACTGGATTAAATACTAGGTACGGTTAGAAAACGACTAAATTAAATCAAAGCATATATGTATGAGACCATCTATATAGACCAGCTGTATTCAATGGGCCTCAAGTCCAGTTCATGTGATTCATGTGGGAACTTGGAATTACTTTGCTCAGTCCGTACTTGAGGAAGTAGCCAACGGCGTACACGTCCGGCCTCGCCTCCTCTCCGATCACCGGAGCAAGCGATACATGCGGTGGGTTGAATAGGAAGGTGGGCAGGTTGAGTCCACGATGGATCATCATGTCCAGCGCTATGGACGCGCCAAGCGAGTGGCCCGCCAGCCAGATCTCACCTCTGCCATTATGGTCGGATATCTCACTGAGGAGGCGTTGGACATTTTCGCGTGCATCCGCGAAGCGGCAGCACATGTGCTGTTTGTTGATCAGGATCCTGAGGTTCTGAAGCATATCGCTCATGAATGTGGGTTCCCGCGTCATGGACTCATGGTGCCGCGGAAGGCGACGACGTGGCTTGGAGCCGAGGGGTCCGGTAGTGTGTATTTGAAGACAGCACCATAGATGAACCAGTTGCCTGATTTGGATCCAAATTAAGATACGTCTCAGCATATTGCAGATGACGCATTTGCACGCGTGCTCAAGCTTGTACTCATGGAGCTTGCGGAAGTGGAAAGTCTGCCACCATGCCGGTGCGAGTGCATTGGATGTGTTGTCCTCCCTCCTCTTGGTTCGATCGCTCTCCAGAACATAGATGCCTTTAACAAGACTGGCGGTAATGCACCGGCGGTGCTCATTATTACCCCTGAAATCGCAATTATATTCTCCTTCTTATTAGCTAGCTTGATCGACTTCTATCACAACATGAATGTATAGCAGTTGTGCTAGCTATTACGATTTGTCTTGTATATACATAACAAAATACTTTGCAGTAGTAAAATACACAGTCTAATAGGAAATAAAAATCTTGCTAAAATCCAGCAAGTAAGCATCTCTAAGAGCCTTTCTAAATCTCACTCTCTAAATCATTATTTAGAGAGTCATTTGCATAAAATCGTTTTTATATTTTTCATTCTCCAACAGTTTTTCTATATCTCATACGCACTCTAGAGAGTCATTCTCGTCTTCTATTTTTTGCTAGCAAAAAATCCGGAATAGAAGAGAGCCGCTATATTTGGAGGACCATTTAGACATGCCGTTAGAGGTAGTTTTTCACCAAAATCTCTATTACTAGCATTTAGGAAGAATAGTGAGAGTCTCTTGGAGATGCAACCTCTAATACTCCCTCCATTCTAAATTATAATACGCTTAAGCTTTTCTAGATATGTATCAAATGCTATGCACTTCAGTGGTGGAGCTAAGACGAAAATTTAGGTGGGACGGACTAAGAACATAGTTTTTTAATGACATCGTACGAACGCACATGAATATCTAATATATGGTAAATTTAAAGATTGATTAAAATGATAGTTTTCGTTAGATCATAGCAGTCAATAGACAAAAACACCAATTAAACAAGAGTCTAAAATCCAACTATCCAAGAGCTAAAAGACATGTAAATTTGAAGAACAAATGAGTTACTGTGTAATATATGATTATACGTGACAATAAAATTAAAACAGCACACAGCAATAAAGGAGACAAAGCACTGGACACTGGACTACTGTTAAAGAACTAATCATGTCTAGATCTTCTCGGTGGCCTAGGCAAGTCAACAGCACGCAGCAAGGCAGGCAGCCAGCGAGGGGCGCCGGGCGCAGCCCCTTGCTTTGCTTTGCTGGACTGGAGTGATGGGCTCTCTCCTATTGGGCCTTTGGCCTACGCTCGCGTTGCATCCCTCTCCCAAAATCGTGTTCCAGACACGCCGCTGGCCGGACGCAGCCCGCAACAACGACGGGCTCGACGCATGATGACCTGAGGACCGAGGAAGAACGGAGGGGTAGTAGGGGCATTGGGAGCTCAGCTCTGATACATTTAGATATACGCTGTGTCTAGATACATAGAAAAATATTGTCTTATAATTTAGAAAGAAAAAATATATATACTCTTACTCCCTATAGCTACATAGTGAATTCAAGCATTTAAAAATTAAACTCAAATATAAGGGGTTCTAGGAGATACAAACTAGCTTTGCATCAAACACTTTCTATTTGCTGTAATCCAAAAAGGCAGAATGGATTTGAGTAAAATGAGATAATTGCGCCGCTAGCGCACATAAAAGGCGTGCATACCAGTCGATCTCAGTTTGAGTCAGGTGCGTGGGTCCAGAGACGAAGAAATTATCCCTGTCATCATCAGAACAGCTCATTGTTCAATGCGATCGAGTCGATCGGCCGGAGATCCTAGTCACCGGCGGTGATGATGAGCCAGCAACAACGATCGGCGAAAGAACAACCTAGGAAGAAGGCTAAGCAGCAGTGGAAGCTAATGAGTGCGTGTACTGCGTGCTTCTCTGCCCTTGCCTGCAGAACCCATCGCGCGATCGAGCTGAGGATCTGATCGGAGGCACCGGCGATGAGCCGATGATGATCAGCAGTTAATAAGAAGGCAACAATGCAGCAGAGAGCAAGTAGCGTGCTGAGTGCGTGCGTTGTCTCTGCTTGTGCTTGTGCCTGTGCTTTGCCGTGAAAAATCGATCCATGTGTTATGTATATATTTGCTGAAAAGTCATGACTGAAAGTAACATTCTCTAATTTATTGTGAGAAAAAAACATTGTTCGTTCACTGAAATAGTACGACTCATGAGACAAGCGAACAAGCCACTATCATGTGTCTCGATGTGTTGCACAATAGTTCCGCTTGGGGG